TTTACTAGAAATAAAAATAGTTTCTAGTTTTTGATTATTTTTTCTTTGAAGCTGTTCTTTTTTTTTTTCTAAAATTATTTTTTCTTTTTGATTCATGATGTTAAAAATTCTCCTAATAGCCAAATTTCTTCCTTATTTAGTCACTAAAGATTTTAGTTAATAATAAAAATTCTAAAAATTAAAGTTTAAGAACAAAATAGTTAAACAAATTTTGCATTTGATCTTTAAATTTTAAAGTTACAATAACCATTAATTATTATGTATAGAATCAATTGCACAAAAATATTATATCCAAGTAGTTTAAATAAACAAATAATAAAGGATACAATATATATATATATATATATATAAGAGACAAATTATATATTATTGATTATGTAGAGACTACGGATAGAAGAAAGGAATGTTTGACTGAGAATAAATCAATGTCCTGTGATTATTTTGAATGAATTAAACGCTGGATCATGAATGATGGATGTATCAGTAATAATACCAAATGATACTAACATGAATAAGTATCGCTTAAATGAATAAAGTAGAAAATCGAATTAAACTAGTGTAATTAACTAACATATATATATATATATATATATAAGAGACAGGAAAGAAGAAGAGAATGTTACATAGAAATAAAATCAATGCTTGTGAATTTTGAATGAATAAACGCGAACATAGATGATGATGATAATAATAACAACAATAATACTAATAATAATAATATCCTAAAAAAAGTAGAAAAAGAATAAACATGTAATTAACAACAGAAAGTAATATTACGTAAATCATTATTTATAAATTAATTTTGTAATTTCATAAAATTTTATTTTTCATTTTAAAATAGTTTTATAAAAAAATTAAATAATTTTAAATCAATAAAATATTATCAAAATAGAAAAATCAAAATAAATAAATTTAAATGAAAACAAAGGCATCTAAAATATCTAACGCGTGTTTGAAAAATATAAATATTTGAATACGAGTATAATATAAATATAATAAGATTTTTATTTAATCTTGTCGTTGACTTGTTTAAATTAAATTCACGCATTCACATATAAAATAGATTAAATGAAAATAGAATTTTTAATAAAACGAAAATATATTTAATCATACGCTGAAAAGAAATAATGCATTAAATTTTAAATTGTTCCATGAACGGAGACATAAAATTAGTTCACGCAAAAGTATAATCTCTTAACTTTTGCCCAACCTCGCACCTTGCACATATTTCCCTTCCCAATGCTCCAAAATCGTTGTTATCGTAAAAAATATCTAAAGAAAATTCAGATCCAAAAAATATATAATAACTCCATAAAAAATATAATAAACTTTTTGAAGTTTTTATATGTACACACGTAACCCTATACATGCAACTCTTATAATAAATAACTCTTCTCTCGTGTGTCTTTTACATTAATGGGATCATGAACTCTCAGGTTATGCCACTATGGGAGATTTTAGAACCATTCTTTAGACATCAAGGTGGAAATGATTCTATGGTTACAAATGATTCCATTTCTTGTATCAATAAACCAAAATTTTCATTCCAAACATCAAATTACTCCGCTGCGATCATGTATGAAAAAAATTATCTTCAAGATGTTTGCAGAGGTGTACCAGATATTCTATGTTGCGCGACTTCACAAACCGCATCTAATGTACAATCAAGTTCTAGTAGCAAAAGGAAATCAACTGAAATGGATATTCCAAGGTGTCATTGTCCAAGTGGAGTAAGTATCATATTCAGTTTTTTGGAGTGTTGGACTCGAAACAAATTTGCATCTAGTATTAAAGTGAAAATTGGTTATTGGGATTTCATATCCCAGAGTCTGTCTTTAGTTTTGTTGGAGCTTAGCTACCCTTTGAAACCCAGAAAAAGAAAAAAAAAAAAAAGAGAGAGAGAGAGAAGAAAAAGAAGAAGAAAGAAAAGAGAGAAAATAGCTTAAATTTCATAAAGTCATCTCTCATTGGTTGCATGATGAGCTTGTCATGCAAGCTTTTATTCTACAGTATGAAGGGATTAGGGAAGATCTTGCTGCTCCCTTTGTATCGGCCTACTGAGTAAAAATAATAGAATAGTAATAATATTTTTGAAAATTTTTTTCAAATCGTATGATAAGGTTCTATGAACGGAGTGTAAGCAAGCAAGTCTTATCCAAAGAATTAAAATTGGTAATTTTGCATAATGAGCTCGCCATGCGAGCTCAGTATTCTTCAATTTGAAGGATATTGGCGACACATCTTTGATATGACAAATGCGAGAGTAAGTAGTGGTGAGACACATAGTTTGGCAACAAGTTTAAGATAATATTTTTTAACATTTCTGCTCTTAATTTACGATAAAGCAATATTATTTACAATATTTGGCTTTGTGTGGACTTAGGTTTAGGGTTTGACTATTATTTTTCTAATTAGTTTGTAATTTTTCAATTTATTAGTGGATTTCAAATCTCTTTTCTCCAAGGTCTTTGTACAGACAATATGAAATATAAACAAATGGCTTTGACAGATTATTTTTATAAAAGCCTCTAAAAGAGCAAAGAAAGAATTGGACATTAATACCATTTTAATTGGACATTAATCTAAATTAGTGATGTAACTCACTCTCGAATTTGCACGTAATCTTTGAAGCTTTAGCTCTCCATTTAAAAAAAAAAAAAAAAAAAAAAAAAAAACAGACTTCTCTGTAATTTTTGCACGTAACTTTGTTGAAGTTTAGCTCTCTCTCATTTTATAAAAAAAATAAAAAAAAAAAAAAGATATTCGGGTACTAGAAGTAAAAAAAAAAAAAAAAAAAAAAAAAGATACGGTACTAGAAATTGATTGGGAGGGTAAAACATAATTTCTCAACCCTTAACAATAATATTTCTTAGGGGAGAGTTGTAGCGTCCAAAGATCAACGTAGTTCTTTTTCTGGATAAGTTATAAGAAGGTCTAGATCTTTACATATAAATTTAGAATAAAGAAATTAAATGAAATTTTTAGAAAATTGTTTGTCACATGGTAATTGATGCATGGAGTTTTTCAGGGTTGGAAGTATACATATGGTTAAAAGAATTAAATTTTTATAAATTTTTTAGCCTATATTTATGTTTTTGATTTAAGTGAATAAAAGTTACTTATTCGTTAATTTATTTGATTGCAGTTTTCCGTAGAAGCAAATAAAAAGCAACAATATAAAAAATCCAAAACCACTCTTTCATCAGAAATACACAAGATGTATGAGAGGGTAAGATGTATATATAGTAGATAACTTGATACTGTATTTTCTTTTAGCAAGTTCTGCAAAATTAATTTCTTTTATTCTATTCTTGTTGTATTAAGCAGAGGCGTAGGGATCGAATCAAAGAAAAAATGAAAGCTCTGCAGGGACTAATACCCTACAGTTGGAAGGTTGGTTATACATGTATATTTACATATATATACGTACAAATATACATATTGCTATCAACATGTATATTGTTCGATAAAGTCACTGTTTATGCTTTAGAAGCATGTTTTGAATTACAAATTACAAATTGCATAAAGTTAATTGAATTTGCAAAGAGTGAAGCGAATATTTCTTTTTGTTGTAAAAAAAAAAGGGACTATTAGGTGTGTTACTCATTGTCCCGTCAACTTGGACTACCGGTCAAGTGTTGACGTCCCGATTTAAGAACCCTGTCCCTTCAAGTAAGATTGTAGTGTTGCGGGTAGTAAAATCAATATTTAGACATCATGCATAACTATTGGATATTATTATAGGAAATCGAAATTAATCAAACAGACGGATGATCAACGTTTTTATCACTAAGCCACCACTTCGGATGGTCAAATGAATATTGTATATTATATTCACATTAGTGGGTATATCTCATTATAAGGAAATAAAAGTGAAATGTCTTAACTTTAAATTCATCTTCGTTTTCATCAATTTAACGAATATTATATAAACAAAATACAATTATTCTTCTTTTGTATAACCAAAAGTGAATTTAGGCCAGACAATTATATTCATGTTTTAGATTTTAATTTATATATTTATATGTTTATATTGATTCCAACTTACTTAAAATTTTATCTTTTACCTCCTTTATTATTTATACATTGCTCTTCACTGACTAGATTTTTTGAATGTGTCTACTATAATATTATTTTAACCTTTTAATAGAAAAAGTGATATTTACAAGAAAAATTGTTTAATATATTTTTATATTCACAGTGATACACACTTTATCAATTAAATGTTTGGTTAATATATGAATAAAAAGTTCACCGCAGAACCGTAGACAAATAAAATAATATTATATTGAATAAAAAGTTCACCGCAGAACCGTAGACAAATAAAATAATATTATATTGAATAAAAAGTTCACCGCAGAACCGTAGACAAATAAAATAATATTATATTGAATAAAAAGTTCACCGCAGAACCGTAGACAAATAAAATAATATTATATTGAATAATTATATCTTTTTATATTCTTATTCCATAGAGACAAATAAAATAATATTATATTGAATAAAAAGTTCACCGCAGAACCGTAGACAAATAAAATAATATTATATTGAATAAGATGAGGGGATTTAATTCGATCTCTATTATTTATACTCTTTTATATTTTAATCATAGGGTCGTGTAATCTTTTCACATTTTATACAAGATAGGAAGAGTAAAAGGTTTTAAATTTAAAATTATCATAAATTTAATAAAATATTATTAAAAAAAGTGATTGTTTATGTTGTTTAATCACATATTCTCTTAATCTATTGAACCTTCTATGTAAAATAATTTGACTAAAAAATTATTTGAATTTGAAGCGGAGTGATGAATCTAGTCAAATGTTATAAAACTCTATTGGGCTAATCTTTGAATCTAATAAAAAAATTAATTTTATATAAAATTAAAATAATAATTCTATACTGAAACTTTAATTTAGGATTAATAGAAAAACATTTATTTATTTTTCAAGAGTTGAGTTGGGATGGATTTCAGTGCTCAAAGCTTCTGCAAAAGTGTTAGGTCCTCAAAGCTTTCTTTAATTTCATTTCGAACTTGCAATTTCAGACGGATAAAGCTTCAATATTGGATGGCGCTATCGCATATATCAAAGCCTTAAAGATGCAAAATGAAGTAATTATTATATATATATATATATATAGTGAATATATAGGCTGCTTCTGGAGATTAAAAGCACTAAAACTTTTATTCGTCTTGTTAATAAGGCTCTGGAATTTTCCATGATCACGTGGCAAGCCACCGAGATGAGTCAGACTGCAAGTGGCGGAACTGGTATGCCGAATAGAGAACGTGTGTCCATGAGTCAATCCTGCGCCGGAGTTTTTGTGCCACAGCCACCACAACCGTTATCAGCTGATAATATCCTGCAGTTTCCTCAAATGGCGGAAGAATTGCCAGTATTGCCTTTCACTAATTTGCCCTCGTCCAACTTTGCTGCGGCTTCCAGTGGGTTCTTGAGTTTTCTAAATCAAGAACACTTTGCTTTCCCAACAGCAAAAACCACCTCTTTCAAGTAAATCAGGTAATTCGTTTCATTCATCTTCATTGTCTCTGATATACTTTTCTCAGATTAGCTTAATTGCTTACAATGGTTATACAAGAATGAAAATAATTTATTATAAAAAATTTATTTAACTTCTTGCAATCCTGTAGTTAAAACACTTAGATTGGATTTATATATATTGTCATTTTTTTTTAACTCACATTTCAGGTTAGATCAACGAATCAAGCGGGTTAACTCTGGCATATTGAACGGCTGGTCGAATTCGAGTCAAAAAAGAATCAAGTGAAGTCCAAGACTCCAAGATTTAGCATCTCTACTCATGATCTTATCAACCATAGATGATGATGCTAAGTTACATATGTTCTGCTTTTTGGTATCTGATCAGTAATATAAGTATAAATTGTTACTATGGAATATTTAGTTTTGAAAAGCGTAAAATGCGAAGAAGGTGAGTTAAATTTAATTTTAAAATTTAATCATAACTATTTCGATCTACATATATAAAATTCTCAGAGGCAATTGTGCTTTATATAGCCAGCGAGCAAATTTTGCAAATAGGAGGCTGAGACTGAGAAGAACTCTTTGATTAGGACTGTTACTGTAGTTTTTATTTGTTAATTAGTTTCATGATATTAAGAACCGAGTAGTGGCCATAAGCAAGACTAAACTGGTGGCTCTCCTCCGCCATGTCTATGACCTCGGCCATCAGTGTCTGGGCGAAAACTACGTTTAAGAACTCATCGAAAAAGCTCCTCAGGTACCTATTCTATTCTTCTTTCGATATTCATTTATGTCTCGAAACTTTTGGAACTTCTCTTCCATTATACTGAATTTGATGCTTTTAACTGTAAAATACATAAGATCAGGGGTGAGCAAAATTACCGAACGGACCGAACTGAAAATCAAACCGACTCATTTTAGTTCGGTCTGATGCCCAAGAGAGGTTCAGTTGGTCAGTTCGTTCGGTTTTAAACCGAATTTGTTGCTCCGTTCAATTCGATTACACAAATATTAGGCAGTTGGGCTTAGAATCCTACCGAAATGATAAAAATTGACAAAAAAAATAGACCGAACTGACTGGTTTGGTTCATATACAAATTTCAATTCAATTCAATTTATTATAAAGAAATTTCGGTTTATATTTTGTGGCGTCGACCAAACCAAATCGGCGGTTTGCTCACCCTTATCTATAACATAACGGAGCATAGAGAAGCCTGAAAAACACTAAGAATGTTTAGGCTTAGTGATTCAAATTGAAAAGGTTGATTTTCGTTAGTAATGATACTAGTGGTTAGCGACCTTAATCTCATAAGGATGAGAACACAAATTCGATTTCTAAAAACCCATTTTGTCGAGAAAGCCAAAAACCTTTATTATTTTGAGAGAGAGGGAGAATATTAAAGATGAGTATAAAAAGATAATTCCATTAAATAGGATGATAGATTTTAGTTTTTTTCAAAATTAAAAATCAGAATTTCTATTGAATCACAGGTTATATATTCTAATTTAAATTGCCACATTTATGCGAAAGTGTTTGGTAAAGACAAGCTAGCCATTTGTCATTTTTCAATTAAAATCAAAAGAATCAAAAGAGATGATACTTAATTAATAAAGTGTTGGTTGAGGTGATAAGTGATCTCAATCTCTGTAATAAAGGTGCGAATTCGATTTTTGAAAAATGCATTTTGTTGAGTGTGCAGAAAAGATTTATGCTAAGTTACACTTTCTGGTTATAATAATAATAAAAAAAAAAAGAAAAGATATCTAAACTAATTTAATACACCTTCCGGTTATATATATATATAATAAAAGAATTAATAAATTTTTAGAAAGAAAATAAAAAATAAATTTTAAATATAGTGGGATAAAAAATAAAAAATAAATTTTTTTCATTAAGAATAAAACTCTTTCCAGTGGGATAAAAAAATAAAACTCTTTTTAGAACTTAACATATAATAAAAAAACATATTATATTAAAAAAATTATCAATTTGAATTTCAAAAATCAATCCATCCTTCAACTACAAAGCACTTAATCTATTGAAATTTAAAATTGATGAAAAGAAAAGACTAAAGCCAATTCAATAAATAAAAATTACAAAGCAAATCATGCTAGAATTTAATATTGGCTGGTTAATAAATTTATTCAAGTATTTTTTTTTAATGCCTTACGTTGCAAATTTAAAATAAATAAATAGATTAATTAATTAATAAAAAAAGATTAGATAAAAAATTTTAACTATATTTATTACATTAAATTTAAACAATGTAAATTCTGAAGTTATTTATCTACAAATCAATTTAATGAAAATTGAGATATAAAAATTTTAATTAAATATTAAAATCAATATTTATTAAATTATCTATGCATAGAACCAAATAGGATTGCATCTTCTAATTTTCTATTAGTTGCAATTAATTTACATAAATAATTATCACAATCAATATATAATAATTGATTATTTATTATCAATATATTTATCATCATTTGAAATTATTAATAATAAAAACTAATAATAAAAATTTGATTAAACAAAAGACTAAATGTTTTTATTTCAATTCTAAATGTTTTTATTTCAATTCAAGTCATTTAAAATTAATTTAAATAAATATTTTACACAATAAACAACTTAGTAAATGTGATGAATGATCTGATATATATAACAACATTTTAAATATAGTTTTTAAATAACTATAGCTAGAATATATTTTTCACAATGAGAGTTTTATAATACATTTTATAATTAGTTTTAAAGTTGAAACATTTATGATATATTTTAGATTAGTTGAATTTATTTGTTATTTTCAAAAAAGATTAGTTGAATTTAACTGTGATTTGGATAATATATAAAAAAATTTCAAATATAGCTTTGAAACAAATATAGTTGGAAAAAACTTATCACAATTAGTGTTTTATACTAAAAATGCATCTAATATTTGTTTTAAATATACTTTAATGAGAAAAGAAAAAAAAGAAAAAAAAAATATTCTAGTCAAATAGAGCAATAAATTCGAATAAAATTATACAATATATTACAATAATAAGAAATCATTAATAATGTTATAATTGAAAAAAATTTAAAATTAATAAAAAAATTTTATATTAAAACCATGCATAGCATAGGCATAATGCTAGTATATATATAAAACAAGTATTTTTTTTCCTAAGAAGTTGACATATGACATTTCTTAGATGAATGATCTTCCCTTACTTTTGCCACATAAAATTCTTGGTGATGATACATAGAATTATAATGTCACATAGGACTCTTAAATTTTGATAGTGCCACATAAAATTTAATTATTAGTTATAGTGTTATATAAATATCGACATTAATTATCATTCAATTATCATAATTAATACATATTAATAAATAATTATAATTACTATAATATTATAACCTATCTTTCTCAATTAAAATTACATAATATTGTTCTTAATTGTCATTCAATTATCATATTAATTTAAAGTTATTACAATATTATAACCTATTTTTTAATTAAAAATTATCATAATTTTGATGTTGATTATCATATTGATGCATATCATTATAATCATTCATAATTATCATTTATTATTATATATAAGAATTTTATATTTAAAAGAATGATAGAGAAGGTTAATGGTGATAGAGAGCTCTTTAAGGTTTGGTATAATCATTTTTTTTTTGGCAAATTCAATAGTTCTTATATAATTTCTTTTCAACATTGATATATTTTTTCTCTTCTAATTTCTATTACTCTATCAAATTAGGAAAATTTTGATAAATAATAAAAGAAAACGGTTTATATAAAATTATCATTAAAAATAATATACATACGTTCATTTTATTTTATTATTTTTAATATCGTCTAACAAAATCTATTAATTGAAAAATAAATTAAAATCAATGATTTTTAATATATATTTCCTTTTCTTTCACTTTGTTATAAACATTAATTTTTATATAATTAGTCTAATTAATGTTTTTAAATTATAAATTTTTTCTCAATTAAATTATGTACTTTAAAAATATTATAGATAAAGATATATACTGTGCATAGCACAGGCATACTGCTAGTATCTTTATAAAGCTAAGCTGACTTGGCGTTCTCTCCATCCAGTATTCTTGTTTCTCTTTTTCTACAAAATTTTCAGTTTTCTATCTTATTTTTTAGTTTTTATAGATAAATAATTAATTAGAAAAATAATTTTTTACTCAATATATATAAATAGTTAATTGGTTAAGATAACAAAATATATCTTACTTTATCTTTTTAATGTTTAAAAACTTTTTTTAACTTAAAAATAATTATCTTTGAAATTTAAACGTCAAAATAAAAATATTTATTTTAATTTAAAATTTTTTAAATTCCATTTTTATTTATTTAAGTTGATCAAAGTTCTAGAGGAGCTAATCAAATTGGTTATACCCATCTTAATTTATTGGTTCACTGTATATTTATTCTCTAATTTTTCTTATTTATTTGTTTATCTATATTATTTATTTATTTTCTATGTTATTCATCTTTTTCTTTTGGGTGGAAATTTTTGTTGCAAAAAATGCATGTTGCGGCTTACGAGAAGGTTACGCTTGAGTTGTGGTCATCTTGCTCTATTTTTTTTCTTTTGTTTCTTTTTTTCTTTTCATTCTCAAATATATTATTATGTTGTTGTTTAATCAATTTCTATTTCTATATATGTTGTATTTTATTTCTGCCTGTAGCTCAATGAATGAATTGGATATAAATTTAGAGAGTATTAATCTTGTGTTTATCACAAACCAAGTCATGATATTGTATTTTATTTCTGCCTGTAGCTCAATGAGTAAATTGGATATAAATTTAGAGAGTATTAATCTTGTGTTTATCACAAACCAAGTCATGAATTTTCTTCTCTTCACTCAATCTTATGGTACTTTTCAACTTATTTTCTTGAACTGTATTTTATTTTAATTCATATGATATGACAGTTCTAAAATTTAGAGGAGTGGAGGCATATGTAAATTTCGTCACTGCAGATTACAACTTCTCGAGTTTGGATAAAAACAGTAGTTTGATACAAAGATTTTTTTTTTGAAAAAATTTGTTTAGTTTGATAGAGATTGGTTCATATAGGTATTTTATAATTTTGGTTCCCTGAAAAATCAGTATAATTATAATTAAAAATCTATTAGAGGTTTTATGAACTTTGTTAATTAACATGTAACTTTTAATTGATGCGACTCTAACTTAATTAGTGTCCTATGTTGAAAAATAAGAGTCAATATCTAGATACATAAAATATTTTTTTACATATATATCTATAAACCCAGCTATTTTTAATTAATAGATACAGAGATAATTATTAGTTTTTACTTTTGAATTTTTTTCCCTTATCTATGTTTACACATTTTTACCTTTTTATATATCTTAGTTTTCAAGAATCTAGTGATATTTATATAAATACACATCTAAATTAACTATTACACTAACCTATCAAAAACAATTAGCATGTTATTATTTAATTTACTTTTGCAAGTCATTATTCTTTTATTTTAATTATGAAAGTTATATATTTTGTAAGGGGTATTGTTGTATCATTAGAACATAAAACTTGATACACTTATGAACTTAAAAAGTCTTGAAAATTTAAATAGGTTTAGCTCAAATCATTTTTATCTAAAAAACTTTCAATTATTTTTATTATTCATTTATTAACAATTTATCAATGAAATTTTTTTTTGAAATAAAGTATAATGTACAATAAAGAGAGTAGCCCGCACAATTGGCATGCCTTCATCTAATTATTCAAGACAACTTTAATTATATTCAATCTTATATTTAATATCAATGGTATTTATGGAGATATCTAAATAGTAGTAATATGCTAAGGTAAATGATAACTCGTTTATGATATGAATTCGTTTAACCTCAATCCTAACCCATTTATTTTGCGTGTTAGGCGAATTGTACGTATTCGCGTATCATAACCTATTTTGATACTCTTAAATAGGGATATTTTTTTCATTAACTCATCAAATTAATAAAAATTTTTGTAATCGGAATAATTTGAACTTAAAACCTTCCACTCTTCGTCTTAACGAATAATGTATCACCAAGAAAACTTATAAAAGAATAATTTATAAATAAATTCCATATTAATACATATAATAAATCTATCAAGTGTATTATTGATGACAACACAAACACGTTTATGCAAATGGCCAAAGCTAGCTGAGGTAGTGCGGACAACCTTTGCATTTATTCCACGAGGCTTTGCATTTATTCCACGAGGCTTTGCATTTATATCTATCAAATATTTCACTTTTTGTATATATTTTCTTATTTTGCAGTTTCATGTTGGAGATTGTCACGGATATACATAGCAGACATTTATGTGCATGTATATATATGTATGTGTGTGAATTTTAACTATATAACAATTTATCAGTTTCAAAGATGAATAATTAGTTTTTGTTAATTGTTTAAATTTTTAATTATTATCGTTTAAATATTTAATAAATATAATTTGAATACAAAATATAATAAATTTTATCTTATTTTATTTCATTGTTGTTGCAAACTTTCTCAAAGATAGGACAATTATTATTGCATGCTAGACTTGGTCATATTAACTTTTCTGGAAGTTGCAATCTCAGTTCTGCAAACTCAAATTATTGGAGTTTATAAAGAAAATCTACCCTGCAGTGGTCTGCATCTAGCGTAAGGTCCCCGACTGGAGGGCACAATTTCAAACATGATTTGTTTAAACTAGATGGATTATATTAAATATT